GAGGCTTTCCAGCCTTGTATGATAAGCGTGGTGGGGGAAGTTCACGAGCAGGTATGATAGCCATTTCAATGTCGATGCTGATGCCGAACCTGTCAATGGGTGTCTTGACGGGTGTAGATAGGCCAAGTTTAGGGAAGCCTTGGTTTACGATAGCTTCGGCATTGGATCTTGGAGGATTGCATGCATAGCGTATCATTTGCGCAGTTTCTCTGTCGTTCAGCTTTCCATAGGGTTGGCCAGGGATGATTTCACAAAGTTCAGCGGGAACCCAAACTTCTTTCTTTTGGCTTCCAAGGTCGACGACAGGAAGATCGGTAGGATGTTGAAGTTTGATACCATATTCTGCTGACAAGATCAGGCCGCTGCACCAAATCAAGGCGCAGACTTACTCTTTTCAAAATACTTTTCGACGCTCACGACACCTCCTAGTTCAGCGCAATCAAATGTGGTGTTTCGAGCCGACCTTGTTCCAATTCTTTTGATCGGTTTCGTGTGCCCTAGATGCTGCGTCCGGACTTTCATCTTGCCAAATGACTTCGGCAAGGTGGGCATAGCACCACGGGAGCCACGCGAGAAGCTCAGCAAAGCATTGGCGAGGTTTCCTGGAACGATAAATGCCGTCATGCAAACATTTCTAAGAAATGGATTAGAGCACACAATCAAATACAAAGGCATATGCATACACGTTGACAAGAAGCTGGTTGTACGAGGCCCGCACCGATGAATAGAATCCCTGGAATGCCTCTACGCCAGGCCCAAGGTTTACTTTCTGGCTTGAAGCTGGGAAAAAGTACCGGTTTTTACCTACCCGAACGCCACTGCGACTAGCGTGCTGTTGAAGAACAAGGTTGAGGGCAGATATCAAGGGAAGTGGATCATAGTCTCGGGATTCCGCTTTTCCACTCATGAAACTGGCAAAGGAAATTAGACGGATTGGATCACGATTTGAATACCATACTCTATTAATCGAGCCGGGTTGAGCTCTCGTTCGAATCTGATGCTGACCATGTAGACTTTTGCTCCTGATCTCGGGGACGTGTCGGGAGGCTCGAAGAAAGGAACCTGTATATCCATCGGTTGAGGTAGCTTCCTCGCAGAGACCAACCGTTGGCTGCGATCGTGAGCTATGTACGGGAGGTGCGGTGCACAAGTAGAATTTTGTTCCAATAGCTCGAAGATACGTGCTTTAATGCGGTTAATATCTGTCTTCGGGCTGATCTCCACGACATAGTCATAAAATGGACCCTTAGGAAGTTTCACAGGGAAGAAGTTAGCCCTCAACGTGATGGGAATGCCTAGCGTTCCATATCCAGGACGCAGAGGTCGATCAGGAATGACTTTCAACGACTGGAATGCCTTGATTAGCGAAGCATGACTAGCATCATCAAGACGAGGAGGTATATTAGCAGGAGAGTTTTCGGCGTAGATCACTGGGCCACCGCCACGGCCACCGCGACCCGGACTACCACCACGACCACCACGATCCATGTAGCCGCCACGGCCTCGGGGTTCGCCTGGACGGCCACCTCTACCAGAAGGACCGCCACGGAAGGATGGGCTAGCGCGTCCACCCCCATAGCCATCTGAACTCTGGGGAGTGTAGCCTCTGCCCCCCCTCCGTGGAGGTCCCTCTGATCCGCCTCGACTAGCCGAGTCTCTGCTCTGAGATCTGCCACCTCGTTGTCCTCTGGTGCTCATGATAGGGCAAGGTTGGTAGTAGGTATAAAGGCATTATTTGCTGCGTTTCAAGCTTATAAAGGCCGCAACAAGCGCCCGGATCTAGCCGCGAGGGATGAATCTAACCTTATGTCGTTTGCGTATTGACAGAATGCTGTCCAGATATTGTTTACTTACATAAAAGGACTTCATTATGACCGGTACCGCAATGGTTCCGACTGTGCCCCTCTAATTGTTATGGTGTAGAGTAAGTGCATTAGCTCAGAATGCACTGCTGCGCCAGGACACACTGCCATGAAACTTGATTAGAAACGCGTGGTAAGGTTACTTCCATGTCCAGCCGATTCTGAAATCGATAGACCAGATAATCGTGACTATATCGGGCCACTGTCTTTCAAGGCGGCTCTGGAGGCGACGCAAGGCGATCCGAGGATTGTTCTTAACGCTGCTACAAAGCATGATATCAAGTATTGTGCGGTCTGATACTATAATGTCTATTTACGATTATCCATAGCCATCTCGAACTTAGGGTGTGTTCATACAATCGAAGAACGGTATGATCAGACGTACAAGCTATTTTCCAGAACAGTTTTGCTTGATTTTATACAAAGTCCATGATTCTGGAAATTTGAGAAATGCACCTATCCATCAATCCCAGTTTTTGATCTTCATCGTTCCATGTTCTATAAAGTTGGTGTGGAACTATAACCAATCAGAGAATGTAAGCCAGACAACATTAAACGCGCACTTTGAACGCGTTTCTCAACATATGGGGTTCGTGACCCGCACCGCGTTTCATGCATTCGTGCAACGCACGATCATAGTACTAAATAAGCACAACACCAGTCAAAATCGAGACATACACGGAACGAAGTGAGACACACCTCGCGCAGTGAGTCCTTGTAGTCGGGGTGTGCGCACTTTTCAATAATGATCGGGGCACGTTCGCGCGGAGAGAGACCACGGACATCGGCGAGGCCTTGTTCAGTCACGATGATGTCGAGGTCGTGTTCTATACGTGCGAGCCGTAAGTTACGTAAACATCATGAGGAAGAAATAAGGTAGCGAGCGACATACCAGTCTGATCGACATGAGACGCGAAGGGGACGATGCACGAGATGCCTGTGGGATCAGTCTTGGTAGGGCGGCTGCGTTGGAGTGTGTGGTTTCAGAATATTAATCCTGAAGTAGGGCAAAGGAGGGGAAGAGGATAGGAGGGAACGGACCTAGAGGGGGTATGCATGATTGAGAGCTTGGCATTCCTCAAGAAGTCAGCCGAGCCGCCGAGACCATTGAGCATCCTTGATCCGAGGGCGTTGGTGGAGTTTGCGTGGGCGTACTGCGCGGGAGTCAGGAAGAAAAGGGGAAGAGGAAGAGAGGGAAGAGAACGCACGATATCAACTTCGAGAGGGGTGTTCATCGCGATGATACCGAGACGGCGAATGATCTCGGGGGAGTTAGCGACTTGTTGGGAGCGTAGGAGGAGGCGGTTCTTGTAGTTTGCCCAGTCTAATGTTAGTTGTAGTTAGCCATGTATGTATATGATGGAGGAGGACTTACTGGTATAAAAGTGGTCAAATCTAGAAATGCGATGTTTAGTGTGGAACAAAGAGAGAAGTGGAGTGTATGCACACCCTTCGGGAGAGAACTTGACGCTGGTCGCAGTCGCGAATGACAGCTTACCAGAATCGAAGAAGCGGATGAAGGTGTCTAAACCCTTATTAGTTTTTCATACACGATCAAAAAAGTCCACTTTACCCTGCAATACCTCAGTCCATACTTGCACCTGCTCGAATGGACCGTCCGCAAGACCGCCAATGATCGAGTTAGCAACGTTACCGATGCCAGACTGAAGGGGGAGGAGATTCTTAGGGAGACGGTCAGCGGCGACTTCCTCTGAAAGGAACTCGATGAGATGCCCAGCGATAGCGCGGGATTCGTCGTTCTATGTGCATCATGATTCTGATGAATAAGGTAGAGTTGGAGTGAAGAGTACCTCTGGAGCGTTAGGTCCCGTGTTATCGGGTTGCCGAGACTCAAGGATAGCAACAATGCGATCTGTATCGATGGAGATGGCAGGTTCTCCAATGCGGTCTTTGACGTGTTTGATCAACTGTGGGCGGTCGAAAATCAGAACATAAAGAAGGGGAGGAAAGATACGTACATAGGGTTGACGATAGGGTGGCACGAAAGACTGATTGATATCATGTAGCCCTTCCAGGTTCGGAATGAGGGTGTTGACCTCGACGATGATTTTTTCCGCGCTCTGGAGAATCTCCGGTGTTGCACCGACCGAAGCGCCCGGGACAATCTTGCCGTCCTCAGTGATGCACGTGGCCTCTACGATGGCCCAGTCTAGAGGCTTACGGGGGTCTCCATGCTTCTTGCGGAGATTGTAATAGCCGTATGTTAGATCTTGTGGGAACACTAGGAACGGAGTAAGCTCAAGGAAGAAGTAAATTCCCAGATGGGTAGATACGAACTGGAAAGATGTTTGTCCGCGAACTCGATGCGGCCTGCGTTGATACCTTTCGCGATGTCCTTGCCGACCTGGTGAGGGTAACGGCGTGCGATCCTGAAAGTGCAGGTCACAATTGAGGAGTAGCGGGAGAAATTCGATGAGCGTACATGTCCAGTCGTGCCCAGCGGTCCTCGACCTCGGGCCCAACAGACGCCCCAACGAAGAGATTGAACTTCTTTTTGGTGTCAGGGTTTGCTTGCAAGTTGTTTGCTTCGACATAATCTGCGATAGCCTGGATAATGAATGAATACGATGCTCACAAAGATATCCGAGGATATCATACCGCAGGCACCGATTTGGGATAGCCGACCCCAGTGAAACCTGACCAGCCAATCTAGAGGCATGATGATGATAAGCCATTGTTCGAACAAACTATTTGTTGTTCACTAGAGAAACCACCAACATACATAATCATCGTTCTAGGGAGGTGAAATCACCATGAGTATTCGTCTGAGCCATGAACGCCTACCTTAAATAGAGGCACAAGATCTGCGGGTTCTGCAAGCTTGTTCAACAGGGCAGGTCGACGAACGCGCTCGCGGAGCGCGGCGGAGACAGAGTGGACATTCTGACGCAGAAATGGAGTGATACGCATGGCGGTGAGAAGAAGAATTGGTTGCTTACTGCTAGAGATCGACGTCGGAAGTAATATATAAGACTCAGAACTCAGGAGTAAGACAGCCGTCGAAGCTTAAGTGCTTAGCGCTTAAGTATGAACCGATGAACCAGATGCGACTCAGAGGCGTGCCGAGGATAATCCAATCTGTAGATGAATTATATTGTTTGTTAACAAATAAGAAGAGGTTCTATAGTGTAGTGGTTATCACTCGAGATTCTGATTATTATGGATTTCTCGAAACCCAGGTTCGATCCCTGGTAGGACCTGATCTTGCAAAGATGGTATGTTTTTTCGTGGCTATCTTACTAACCCTAATGTGTTGAATTCAATCTCAATGTGGCACCAGCGAGCAAGGATATGCCACAACAGAGTCAGTTCGACCTCAGCTCCCTGAGTCAGCGCTTGGCTGCTTATTTTTGGCAATGGTATTGAGCTTCTTCCTGAAACTATCTTCCATGTAGTAAGTGTTGGAAGGGCCATTCCCTTGAGTCTCTCCATACTTCAGATCCTTCGTTGTATGATCCCCCGCGCAATCTCTTATCATTAGAGTTATTTGATGTCTACACTTTCCGAGATTCTTTGGGTCAGAGGACCGTGTTCTAGTCGTCTAGTTCCTTATCGGCTGGGTTCTTCGTGAGCAGCTACACATTCGTGCCGCCATGGTAAAATATGTGCTTTCGCGTCATGATTTGGCGAAAGTTCTGATCAATGAATTACTCTATGCGTCAAGATCTCCGTGAGTTTGGCTTTCGAGTTGCTCTTCACAATCTCATGTGAGTACTTCGGACTCGGACCTCAAGCCACAAGCTCTATATCACATTCAAATTGATGAAATGCCGCATTCGGAACTACCCCAGGACATTGTGACTGCGCAAATCTTGAAGTTGTGTGTGTTGGCATGCTTGTGATAGGTGGATATATGATGTCCTTCAAAGACACCAAGTCATGGGTGCTTCAATACTACCCCGGCATCGATTTCTGGGACGACGACCTTATTCCCTACATCATTCAAAAGCATAACGATGCGCATGAAGGAGAAAAGTTTCGGATCATATGTTGTTCAAAAAATGATGTCTTTTTCGTTCTTGTAACGGTTCTGCCTAAAATGGAACACGCCGGAATTGCACTCGACGAACCAGTTGGACTACCTGTCCCATTAGAACATAACACGTTACAACTCTGTGACCCGTTGCTCTCAGAGGTGACGAAGCTCTGGCAACTGCCGGTCCTTCAAACTCCGTAGCGGGAAAACCCGAACCGCTACATA